CACCGGGTCTGTTCACCAGCGATATCGGCACAGAGCGCGCGTCGTACGTTTGCAGGGGGCGGCGAGGGCTTTGGAGGGTGGGTCAATTCAGAAGGATCTGGACACACCAGAGCAATGGTCTGAGGCCAACAGGATGACGTTTATTACAGACAAATGCAAAGTGCTCCTCTTAGGGAGGAACAATCCATGGGAACAGCATGGGAAGTGACTGCCTAGGAAGGAGCCCTGCAGAAAGGGATCTAGGGGTCAGAGAGGACCACAAGCTACATACGAGTCAACAGTGGGACGATGTTGCAAAACAAGCAAACCTGATTCTGGGCTGCATGAACAGGAGTGTTGTGAGCAAGACACGAGGAGTCGTTCTCCGGCTCTACTCTGCGCTGACTAGGCCTCAGCTGGAGGGTTGGGTCCAGTTCTTGGTGCTGCATTGCAGGAAAGATGCGGAGAAATTGGAGAGGGTCCAGAGAAGAGCAACAAGAATGATTAAGGTCTAGAGAACATGGCCTATGGAGGGAAAGCTGAAGGAACTGGGTTGGTTTAGTTTGGAAAGGAGAGGACTGAGAGGAGACGTGATAGTGGTTTTCAAGTACCTAAAAGGATGTTAGAGAATCACCAACTGAAATGAACAGGCAGCAGGTTTAAAACAAAGCAAAGGAAGTTTTTCTTCACCCAACGCACAGTCAACCTATGGAACTCCTTGCTAGAGGACATTGTGAAGACTAGGACTTTAACAGGACCTGGGGATTAAAGTGGATGAGAAGCTGGATATAAGTCAACAGTGTGTCTTGGTAGCTAATGGCATATTAGGGCAGCTGAAGTATTGTGTCCAGTTCTGGGCCCCCCCCCCCCTACAGAAAGGATGTGGACGCACTGGAGAGGGTCCAGCAGAGGGCGACCAAAATGATTCGGAGAGCATGACCTATGAGAGGCTGAAGGATTTGGGCTTCTTTAGTCTGCAGAAGAGCAGAGCGAGGGGGGATTTGAGAGCAGCCGTCAGCTCCCTGAAGGGGGGTTCCAAAGAGGCTGGAGAGAGGCAGTGGGGGCAGGTGGCAGAAAAGGAGCAATGGGCTCAAGTTGCGGTGGGGGAGGTCCAGGTTGGATATTAGGAAAAAGGATTTCCCTAGGAGGGCGGGAAGCGCTGGGCTGGGTTCCCTAGGGAGGGGGTGGAATCTCCATCCCTCGAGGTGTTTAAGTCTCGGCTTGACACAGCCCTGGCTGGGAGGATGGAGTTGGGGTGGGTCCTGCCTTGGGCAGGGGCTGGACTCGGTGACTCCCGAGGTCTCTGCCTGTCCTAGGATGCTATGAACAGGGTTCAGAACAGAGCTGGCTAGATTCCTGGCAGTTGGGTCCGTCAATGGCTGCCAGCCAGGCTGGGGAGGGATGGGGTCCCTGGCCTCTGTGTCACTGGAAACACATGACGGGAGGGATCCCGTGAGGATTCCCTGGTCCGTTCCCTCCCTCTGGGCACCTGGCGCTGGCTGCTGTGGGCAGACAGGACACTGGGCCAGATGGACCTTTGGTCTGACCTCGTCTGGCCGCTCTGATGTTCTTATGTGCAAGGAGGAGGGAGAAAAATTGTTCTTGGCCTCTGAGGACAGGACAAGCAGCAAGGGGCTTAAACTGCAGCAAGGGAGCTTCAGGTTGGACATTAGGAAAAACTTCCTGCCTGTCCGGGTGGTGAAACACTGGAATGAATTGCCTGGGGGTTGTGGAATCTCCCTCCCTGGAGATATCACAGAGCAGGTTGGACAGACCCTGCTGGGGACGGTCTAGACGTTTCTGGGTCCTGCCGCGAGGGCAGGGGACGGGACTCGATGCCTCCCGAGGTCTCATCCGGTTCTTGTGTTCCATGGCTCTAGTCTAAGAGCATCCACACATAGGCCATGTCTGTACACACGCGTCACCCCCCCAGCTGCTCCTCCCGTCGGCGTGAAAGGCCATCTCCGGGACAGACCCTGCTGGGGACGGTCTAGACGTTTCTGGGTCCTGCCGCGAGGGCAGGGGACGGGACTCGATGCCTCCCGAGGTCTCATCCGGTTCTTGTGTTCCATGGCTCTAGTCTAAGAGCATCCACACATAGGCCATGTCTGTACACACGCGTCACCCCCCCAGCTGCTCCTCCCGTCGGCGTGAAAGGCCATCTCCGTGAGCGCTGGTGTCCCTCGGCGGCAGGCCCCCCCCCCCGTGCAGCGCACGGCACGGGCTGTGATGCCGACAGCCGCAGAGCCCGAGGGGGAAGGTGTGTGAAGGGTAACGGCCCCTCTGCTTCAGGGCGTGAGCCAGTCCCTGACTGGCCTGGAAAGGGCTTTCTCCTGGGGTAGGCCATGCCGTCATCCTGCACCCTGGGGCTTCCATGGGATCGGCTGCTCATGGCCGTGCCGGGGGAAAAGGCGGGAGAGGGGCCCCGGGTCCCTCCCCCTACAGGATTATAAATAGCAGGGCACCGATTGTGGGTTGGGAACCGCGCTGCCCGGCAGGTGAGTCACCCCGTCCTCCGGGCCATCACCCAGCCAGCCAGACACCTGCAGCCAGCGGTTCGAGGCTGCAGCCCACACCGGCTCCCACCCTGCAAACTTCTCCAGCCCCAGTGCTCTCCCCTCATCTTTCCTTGCTGGACCCCCCCTCTCTCCTCCAGTTTCCCCTTCTCCCACCGTCCCTCACCCCCTTCTTTTTCTCAACTCCAGCTGTTGCTTTTCTTTTGAGTTCCTTTTGGAATCACCTTTGGTAACGCACAGTATAATTCATGCCCAACAGGCCCTGCTGGTGTGTTTTGTTTTCTTTCTTTCTTTCTTTCTTTCTTTCTTTCTTTCTTTCTTTCTTTCTTTCTTTCTTAGCGTGTGAGCAATTTTTAGAAGTTTTTTGCTGCTTTTTTAAAACCCCAAAACTTACAAAAACTCCATTTCTCATTTCTCTTCTCACTTTTTTCCCCCCTTCTTTCGTTTGTTTTTTCTTTTGGTTTGTTTTCTTCTCCTCCGTTGGTTTCTCGATGCCCCTCTTCCCGTCCTCCCTTCCGTGGCTGTTGCTTTTTCTCCTCCCCTCCCTCCATTATTTCCCCTTCTTTGGTTCCTTCACCCCCCCCCCCAACACCCCCGCCTTCTTTTCACCTCCTCTGTGTGTCATCTTCCCTGCCCCTCTCACTCCCCTGCCCTTTCTGTCTCTTCTTGGTTAATTTTCCTTGTATATTTTCTTTTTGATTTCCTTTGTTTC